CTTTGCAGATCAAGGGAAGTGAGTCTCTGCTCAGTGCTGATGAGGCTGGGTCTCGGATACCGTGAGCAGAACAGTGCTGTTTTGAGCTTGCTTCGTTCCTAGGCAGAGGGTTACTGACATGATCAGAGGCCCAAAGCACATGACCTACAAGGAGTATGTGAGGGGAGTTAGGTTGTTAAGTCTGAGGATGAGGAGACCATAGGGTGCAGTATGGCAACATCCTGCATATACCTGAAGGGCAGCTTCAAAGGCCATGGAACTGAGCTCTTCTAAGTAGTGCAAGACTAGCAAGGAGCAATGGAACAGACTGTAGGTTGGGAGGTTCACGTGAAACAGCAGGGAAAATCCTGTCACTAGCAGAGGAGCTGTCTAGAGGCTCAGGACTGACCTGAACCAATACTGAGCCTTGTGCTTTGTGCAAAAAATATGGACTAGAGACCTCCAGCCAATGGTTCCACTTCATTCCAACGGGTCCTCAATTCCAGTCCATAACTAAACTAAAAACATTTAAGACCTTACTCAGTGACAGGGAGCTAAAACTGATGCTTGGCAGCCAAAGGCAACAGTTTCTGTGGAAGGGGAAGAAGACACAATGAACCTTTGTGAAAATGTATCAAGCTAAGAAAAAAAATAAGCCCACTAAAATTGATAGAAGGCTGAAAAACCACAAAGATCAGGTGGATCAGGATCCAACATGGTACCTAAGTAGATAGATACCAGTGCTACAACCAGATTACCAGTGCTACAACAACTGATTGTATTCATCAGCAATATTTGTATATTGAATTCTATAGGATCATAAAAAATATTTGAAAATATTGTGGGTCTGATCATGCTTTCACCAGAAATAATAGAAAAACCATTTTAACATAAGCAAGATGTCTCTCTTTGCTTTGGTTTAGAACTTTGTTCATTTTTCTATCATTTGTCCTTTCAACTTTCCACTTTGTTACTTTCCCTTCAGAGTTCATCATCACAGAATTTTTCCTATGTCCAAAAGAATGAGAAGGTTGATTTCTAATCTGTTAATGTTTATCTTTTTATTTCTTAATACCTGCAGAAGGGACATGAGAGTGACTGGGAAAAATGGAAGGAGTTGAAACCCTATGCTTTTCCATCCATATTAGCTCCGAAAATACTCTCCAGACCAGTAGTGAACCACCAAGCTGCACTGGCAAAACCCAATTATTCTTCTTTGCTTAGGATCACAGAGGTGATTTAACATCTTATGAAGCACGCACAATTGTTTGAATGGGACCCTGGAGAGGAACAAAGCTGTCTCAAGTAACAGCCACCCCTCCTTCTGAAGCTTCTTAAATGGTGGGACACATTCAGGGCCATGGACCATCCTGCTATCAGTCCCAGGCTGAAGTTCACCACCTTATGTCACATCACGTGACAAGACATACTCACAAACTATGTCCTGTGATGATTTAACATTAATATTAGAGGAAAAACACTTTGTGTTCTACAGATTCTGTCTAGTATGTGACCTCTTAGTAGGAGGGAAGAGTTGGGGAGAACTGGTAATACAAAAGTGGAACCTTTCAAGGTTCTGAACAAAGGATTTAGACTCTTGAGCTATTGGAAATTAGCCATGGCTGTTCTCACAAATTCTTTACTGTTCTTTTTCTTCATATCTAAATAAAAATATCCTAGAAATTGATGATATGCAAACCACACTGACTGACTGGAAAAAAAAAAATAAAAGAGCATATCTTCCAGCTTTGCAGATTTTTGCAACAACAAAAATAAATTTTAAAATCTCACCCATTTGTAAACAGAGCTTGGAAATGGTACTCCTAGCAAAGTTCAAGGTATCACGTACAAATTTGTTATGCAAAACTACTAAAAATGATTTTACATGACAATGTTAAAAAAAAATAAAATTGACCTTACCTGCTAGGATTTTTTTTGCTATTCAGGGTAATAAAAATAAAAAAAGAAGCAATCAGCTTTTACATATAAAAGGGTTGGGTCTGGTTTGAGAGCTTTTTAGTATTATATATAGAATTTTCTATGCTAACAGTTTTATAACCACTTTTCCAAGCAGAACAGCATTTAGATTTAAAAATACATGTGGAAAATTCTCCTGTGGCTATAAATAAATTCTGTTGGTTCAGAATGAAGTCATATAACCCATACAAGAGGGGACTGCAATAAAAATAATTTTTAAAAGATTTAACAGTCTCTGCAATTTTAAATTATTTTTATAAAATGAAAGCCATTTTCACAGTAACATTTCCTTGAAGACAGAAAATTCTGCATTGCAGAACCACCTCATATTTCCAATTATTTAAAATAAGACTGCAGTAGCAGGAAAAAGATGGATGCAAGTCCCTTCCATCCTGTCAGTGTGATTAGAAAGATGGAATGGAGTCTACAAAAGGGCTGTATGGTGTGATAAGAAACAGACATGACTAGGTCACTCCTGCCAGAGGAAAACCGCTGCAGCACAGTGGCTTCCAGCACAGCAAGTAACATTCTGCAGTGCTGGCAGGCAAAGAGCAGTGACTCAACAACTTCCTCTGGGTTTGAGACAGTGCACACCAAACTTACAGAAGAGCTTTCTATGACTTAGCAAGCACTGACCTTCATTCTTAAATCAGCTCCTTAAATGTCACCAACAGATGTTTTAAACATTGCACTGTATGTATTTCCCAGCAGTCAGAGATTGTGTTGGTCTATAGTCACTGCTTGGAGCTTACTTTACCCTTCCTTACTAGTGCCTTTTCAAGAAGTTTGAAAATAAGCGTCCCATTTGTTGATGACACATGTGCTAATCATTGGCAAGTCACCCCTTGCTGTACAGTTTCTGTTTCATTTGAATAGTTCCACTAACAGAAAACATCTATTTTTTCCTCTAGCTAGAGTTCTATCTAGTACAAATGGCCAAAAAAAAAACCAGCCTGTGGCATGTGAAGTGCTTGATTCAAAAAAATATCTCGTTTTTCCTCAGATCTATTACTCAATTTGTATTTTTGATGAAACTATTTATTTTAGATTAGTGCAGTGAGTATAAATAAATACTCTTACTTTGCACCCCTCATGTGAAACCATTATTAGCATTTTCTAAGCAAAACATCAACACGATCATAGCTTCATCAAACTTTGAAGAACCAAAGTAGTATCTTATTCCTTTTTCACGCTGACATGTTTCTAAATATCAAATATCAACAGAACAGAATACTTTTGAATACAACTAAAAACAAGCAAAACCTTTAGGGGCAGAGAAACCAAGAAAAGACATTTATTTTCATTTTAAGATTTTGATCCCTCTGTGATTTGCTTTAGTGTTCAAATGAGCTCCTTTGTGGCACTAAGCAAGTTCTAAATTCTTAAAAGACCTATAAAAGTTGTTTTAGTTTATTCTTTGCAAATAAAGAGCAAAGCAAGAAAGCAAAAATAAATTACAAGATTTCAAAATCTCAGATGCTGACATAAAATTTCCTCTTTGATCCACCTTTAAGAAAATACTCCTTTAAGCTAAGTCCTTGAAGAGACAACTCAGCTATAGAGCAGTAACTGTTATTCCACAAATTTGAATTGCTGAGAATCAGTTTTCAGTTCCAGATGGCACAAATAACAAAATACCAGTTCAAAATGTTTGACATTTCAACTTATGCAAAAGATTATATCAAATGCTAAAAATAAACTCCTCAATTGCTCTTTAGGGATTGCAATAGGAGGGACTGCAGTGTTGCAAGAGCTGTTGTTGGCATACACTTTTTAATATGCAATATGTTCAATTACTGGTGGTATTTTCTTTTGGCCTTTGGTGCTAATAAAAGGGACAGATTTAGAACACTTGCTTTAACCTTGAAACATCAAAAGAGCAGAGCCTAAATTTGCAAGTTGATTTCAGGGCCTAATGTAGGCTCCTAAACACATTCATTAATCCAAGCCTAGGGTTTTTTTCCTCCATTTAGGGCATATTCATCAAATTATCAAAGCTAGGGTTAAGACACCAAAGCTACCTTAAGACATTTTTCCTACTTTAATTTCAGAGTTAATGAAGCTACTATCTTTCTCCACTGAGGAAAATCAATTCAGCAACTAAAATGGCCTAGATTACACATGCATTAAACATTTTAAGTAGTACTTACTGATCCCTATTTTTTCTGACTACTGCATCTAATAAAGCTCCAAAGTTTCATAACATTTTCTAGGCATCAGTGAACAGAGTCCTTTGTATTTAGAGAAAACTAGAATATAAAATAGAAGGAAAACCAAGACAAGTAGTTTTAATAATTGTGAAAAAGCACAACTTCAAGCACTTCTGCACTCTCTCTTCATCAGATAGTAGATGATATCCAGCAATATCCTTCCAGATAATCCTAGCTCTTTTCCACCTCTGTATCATTCTGTCTCATAAAAGTTCCATACAGAAATACAAGCGACAATTTATCCTTCAGAAAATAGAAGGACAGGTGGCACAGAAGAAGAAACATGAGTCATGTGTAAGGCCTAGTAAGAGGAAGGGAGGAAAAGGGGAAGAGAGCACGCAGGTCATCCTCTTCTGGGTAAACACAGAGAAGTGAAAAATTCCTCAGAGATGCCCAGATATGTAAGATTTGCGTTAGAAGGGCCTAGTTAACTAACCTACAAAAAAAGAGAAGATTCAAACCCCCAAATTTTCTACCCTACCTGGCGAAGGAAATATATAACTTCCATGAATTTTCACAGAATTACTCAGGGAGCCAGTGGAACAGACCCTGAAAAAGTAGTCAGCTGTTGCTAATAACCACTGTCTAGCACAATGCAGAGCCCACCTTCTTAATGCACAAGAAAAAGCAGAGGCTGTACATTAAAGAACTGCACATCAGATTGCAAGGCTGAGGGTGGAAGCTGTCTTCTTCCTGCAGGCCCACTGGCAGCGAATAAGAACACTCTTAATTACAACTTAATATTTTGTAACTTACAACAAGTAAACACCTATCTCATAAAATTTGTTTAGACACCGTTCACACAACTTTGCATTTTAGCTGCTGGCAAGATTATACATTCATCCCAGTGAAACAATTTATTGAATTGTGCATTTGGCAAGCACAGGAAGGGAACTTTCTCTTTCACTTGTTTACAAGAAGTGCTATAGTGGATGGAGACTGTAAATTGAAAGTTATACTATGAACTCTTTAATCACAGGAGTTTTTTCAAGAAGTTCTCATTAATTTCATGGAAACAATTCATAAGTAAAGGCAGCAGAACCTGGTACCTATATAATATTTTGTAATTTAAGAAATTAATTTCACCTTTAAAAATAGAAATTTTGTACAAACACTAGGCAAGTTTCAGACTTCTTTAAATTACTGCCCATGGATATTTGATCAAGAACATGCAACCTAACAGTAAATTTTTTCAGGAGATTTTTTTGTTTAGTTGGTGTTTTTTTACCTGTTCTTATCCTTGATCTCCATTGTCTCTTTTTCTTTGATATCTTCTTGATAGGAACATGAAGCAGATTTTGGATTTATAAATTAGAAAGTTATTTTTTAATCCTTCTTGCTTATCATCTTTTCAGTGGACACCAGAAAGCCCAAGAATATGAAAGTCAACTCAATCTTCACTCCATCCTTCTTCTACCCAAGGTGTCTCTGTGCATCACCATCTGCTACTTCTCCAGTTTTCTTTTAAAGCACTTGCTTAATTGTTCACAGAATTTCATTCTCTTGTAACCAAGAACAGGTGTAACAGGACAGATCTCAGAAAGCAAGGAGGTCTTGTTCAGTTTCTTTAATATAGCCTGAATTCAGGCTATATTCCTGTGCGATTGATTTATGTTTATCTTCTAGAAAAGGAGCGGGTTCTGGAAGCTGCTGTTTCTCCTTTGTCTTCCTTTTTTTCTGGAAGCAGGCACAGCTGGAAGAGTATTAGTGAGGCCCAAAGTCTTCTTCGTCCCACCTGCTAGAAGATACTTCTTAACATCAGCTCAGTAATTCTGGAAGAAGAGGCACAGAGGAAAAGGGGAGGGCCATTAATACAAAACAGAATTAAACTGAAGGGTATGGAAAAGCCATTTCCTTTGAGGGCATAGTTGCAGTTACCAGTATTGAGTGAGTCATGATACTAATTATAAACTGCCTTGTGCATTGCTTGTAGGCACACGGAGGGAGAGCTGACACAGAGCAGTGAGGTTTCTTGCTTCTCCTCCAGTTTAATGACATACAATCAGCACGGTGACAAACACACAGAGCTGTAAGTATGCTGACTGAATGGGTGTCATGGTTTAATGCCAGCTGGCAACTAAGCACCCAGCCACTGCTCACTTGCTCCCTTCCCTGTGGGCTGGGGAGCAGAACCAGGGAAAAAAGTAAAATCTGTGGGTTGAGATGAGAACAACTTAATAATTGAAAATATTATCATTAATGTTAATAAGAATGAAGTAGTGGTAATGCAAAGAAATGCAACAAAAAGAGAGACAGGAATAAAATACCCAAGAAAGAAAAGAGATGCACAAAACAATTGCTTACCACCCACTGACCAATACCCAGCTCATCCCTGAGAAGAGATCCATTCCTCATGGTCAATACATCCCAGTTCATATAGTTAGCTTGATGCTCTGAGAGAAATAGAGGAGAGATGTCTGGAACATCCCCTCAACCCCTTTGGGCTTAGCTGTCCTGGCTCTATTCCCTCCCAGTTTCTTGTGCACCTCCTTGCTGTCAAAGCACAAAAGATCTTGATTTAGTGTAAGCACTACTGGGCAACAATGACAGTAAGTTATCAACATTATTCTCATACTAAATTCAAAACCACAGAGCTATACCAGCTACTAGGAAGAAAATTTACTCTATCCCAGCCAAAACCAGCAGCTGGCAACTGTTCTAGGGTATATATTCCTCTACATTAGATATTATAGTCTAGATATAAAATTATGCCATCAAGGAAGATAACAGCCTGGGCAGAACATTCATGGAGAAGGATTTTGCCCTTCTATTCAAATAGCTTGCAGTTAGGGGAAGAGATTAACTAGCTTGCAATAACTTTCCACTGGGCAGATTCAAACTCTTCCCAGCTAATCTCCAGTCCCAAGCTATATAGGTCAACATCTACCCTATGCTACCTTTGGGAACAGTTTCCACTGAATTTCTGTAGCACCAGAGTAGTGTACAGGTGAGGCAAGGTGGGTGCCGTCAAGCTGCAGAAAACAACATACTTCAATATTAAGTTATTACCCAAGGAAGGTATGTTTAAGAGAGCTGGGAGTACTGACAGTGGTGTTCCATTATTGTTCTGCATCTGTGCAAATGTAAATACTTCTCTGAGCCTCTGACAGTGTTGGCAAGTCTGTGCAGTTGCGTATGTCCCTCTTCAAGCAATGCAGACATTCCTTCCTGACCCAGAAAGGAAAACAACTGTGGCTAAATTGCAAAAGATTAATTAGATGTAAGCATGATACTGAAATACAAATGGTATGAAAGAAAGGGAAGTAGAATTTGTGGCTTGAATACTTTTTTTTTCAATACATAACAGTTTTACCTACTCAGTAAATAAAGTGTTGAAATGTAGGAATTCTGAATGCATGTTTACTGTGACAAGCATCATGAATAATTTAAGCTAGCATAATGTGTTATTACGTGGCTTCAATATAAATTTTTCTTTCTGTGGATGCTGAGATGTATATCTACCTTATAATCCCAAGAAAAGTTCACACTTAAGTCATACTTAAGTAATAAAGACTGAAGCAAAGGGCCTTGCAAATCCAGCCCCATTTTCCCAGATGTGAATGATTTCATAAAGAGCAAAACTATTGCAAGCCAGCTGCATAATGGGTTGTAGTGCAGAGGCGAGCACTAAGAAAAGACATTTTGGCTGCAGTGGAAAGCCAGGCTCAAGAGGCCCAGGCACTGTGTGTGCACCCATGGCTGGAAGATGGGTAACTTATACCTGTTCCCTTAAAATATCATTAGAAAAATCACACATGAAAATTATTTTAAGTTATTTGAGCAGCTTCAATTGCCTTGAGGAATAATAAAGGAAAAATATGTTATAACAGAAAGTAATTGAAAGCTAATTATGACTTTAGGAGACAGACTCTCCATAATCAGTGAGTGACACACTTTCTCAGACTCCATTCCAGTCTATTTCTAGACTTTGTCTCTCAAAGATTATCCTTTATTATGTTGCCCCCTTGATATGTTACTTTTCTTGGTACTGACATATGCTATAAAAACAAAAATATCTTCTAGGATTTTTGACAATGACACCTTGTTCAGAAAATTTAGAGTTCCAAGTTACCTAAAACCAGCCTAAAATTATTGATACAATAAATAGTTTGCTTAGCAGAACAGCACATTATAGCACAGTGTGAAGTGACATCTCTACACCAGCAAATAATTCCAATAGTCCTCGAAGGTGCTTGGTCTTGCCAGCACAGATGTGACCAAAAGGTGTTGTCAGTTTGGTATCAGATCACATTACAGTCCTAGAAAGATTTCAACACCATCATGTCTATGTTATCCCCCATGGTATGAAACAGAGCCAACTTGGCTGTCAGATACCAGATACAGATTTATCTTGGCACACTTAACTTGCTGACCTTACACTTCCTCAGTGCCTGAGCTTTTCATACAGGTTACCTTATACTTTTATATGATACTGAGGTTCAGCATCTGAGAACATTCTCTAATAGAATTTATTGCTATAGCCAACCATAAATCTCTTCTGGGAAAAAAAAAAACAACCAATGCCTATGCCAATATTTTGCTGTGAAATTTATTACTTTTTGGATAAAACACTTTTGCTGGAGGATTTATGTGTGTCTTTAATGGAATTTTGGTGGAGGAGATTTAGCAATCGAAGTGCAAAAAGAATCTTCAGTTTTGTGGATGCCTGTCATTAGTTGTAGGTAGGAACCACAGGTATAGCTACACAAATACCTAATTTTGCCTGCTTTATTAATATTGAGGTAAGTGTATATATATATAAAAATGTATATATTGTGTGTATATATATATAAATACATATATATTGTGTGTGTATATATAATATATATATCCATATATAGATATAGATATACTGCTACAGAAATTTTTGTTTCATAAACGATTAGTGGTTGTCTGATTATTCATGCCTCCTCCATCCTAATTAATGTTAGGATCAGTCTAAATGATATACACTAAGTTTCTTTCTGCAGTGATAACACCTAAATCAAAATTGTTAAGTCCATCCAGCAGCAGGGGAAAAATACAAGAACCATCAGAATTACTGAACACAATCCATAGTTCTGAGTAGGAAATCTGTGGACAAAGTATGGCAGTAGCTAATATTTAATTTGTGTTTTAGACAGTATAAAAGCACAAATTGTTCCTGTCAACACACAGCTTATACTAGCTGAGTTCAAAATGCATTTCTATCAAATGAAATTCAAGACCATCACACAATTGCAGGTACCACACAAATGTAAAGAGTTGCTTCTCAGATACCTGTTCTGCAGAAATTTGAGACAGACCTGATACAGTGAATTATAATAATGTGACATAAAGTATGTAAAGTAGATATGTCTTTAGTATGTTAATTGCCTAGGCAGTTTTGGGGTAGCAGCTTCAACTGAAATGAGTAGTCCACACCATCAGCAGATAGAAATCAGTGTCATCAGCAAAATATATGGCTCTGCATTTCTACTGTGATGAATTACAGGAGCTTTCATGCTTTATCACATAGAATTTTAAGATTAAAAATATACTGAAAACATTCAAAACTGCCAATACTTTAATAATAATTATAGAGTTGATAATATTAATCCTATTAATTCTATATCATTAATGCTCTTTTTATTATAATCAGTAAAAATGCTGTACCCTTGTTGATTTTTATATAGAGAAGAGAGTGATTGAAACTGAACAAAAGTGATTATTTTTCTACAGTGTGATGATTTTGATGCATTTGCACAGCAGGCGTTGTTGCTTTTTGATGAAACACCACAAACACACGTACAGGGATAAAAATATTTAACAGATGAAAGTCAGGACAAATACTGCTGTCAGTTTTTGTGGGAAGAATTGCTTGTGCCTACCCTTTCCAAGGCCACACCAGCACCAGGAAGGGCAGCAGTTATTCCCCTTAGGATGGCCATGAGCTGTCAGTGTGCACTCCCAGCCTAGAAAGCCAAAGGTGTCCTGGGCTGCATCCAGAGCAGCGTGGGCAGCAGGGCCAGGGAGGGGATTCTGCCCCTCTGCTCTGCTCAGACCCCACCTGCAGGGCTGCAGCAGCTCTGGGGTCCCAGCACAGGGAGCACATGGACCTGCTGGAGCCAGTCCAGAGGAGGGACACCAGGAAGATCAGAGGTGTTTCTGTATCTTTCAGTCTTTTCAGGGCCAAGTTATTTTAGGATACTCCCTCACGAAGAGTTTCACTTATCTTGGTTCTGTGTCAGGAAGAATACTCCAAAGGCTCGTTAGGCTCTTGTTCCTCATGTTTATTAATATATTATCAAATGTCTTGGCAGGCAGACTTTCTGCTCAAGTTCAGCCCACCATTGCCTGGCTCAAATTGGCTTGAATGGCACAAAATGGCCACAAAATACACAGCTCTTTTATCTTTATACTTATTTTCACCCAATTAACAATAGACAAGTAAATTATTTTTCTTAGTGACCCAATGACTCAAACCTGTGTTCTGCACTGTGGCATTTTCCATCCAATCATTTACTAATACCTAAAAGCCTTTAGAAGAAGAATGTGAAGAAGAAAGAAGAAGGACAAGGGACAACACCCTAAATTCTCCATCTTGTCTTATGTTCTCTAAACTAGTTTAAACTCCAAACTTTAACTTTTTCACCCAGTGACTTTAGAAAACTCTAATTTACACACTTGCACTCCTAGTTTTTATATTTAACAGTTGTTTTCAAGGTGTTATATGAAATTCAGTGTTTTCTCGGATGTCAGAGCCAGGTATCAGAGATAAGGGCACACTCTCTGTGTCTCCAGCTCCAACAAG